GATGACCCCTTTAACTTTTAGCGACAGTCCCCGGATATTTGAATTCTGAACCGCCGCAATATGTACCTGAAGCGACGTAATAAAAACACAGCAATACGTACCTATATATCAACGTAATAAAAATGTGCCAGGGTTCACGTATTGAACCCGTGTTTTAGTGCCACTCAGTGGACATTTCTCTATGAAACTGCAGCGAAACGTGCAGTAAGGTACGTAAAAACGGTGTTGCAGAAAAGTACCCAGAGGTACGTATTTTTATGAGACCAAGTTGGAAATTAAGGTAAAACATGAATGGTCCTAAAAAGCTTGCTAGCTTGCTTGTTTGTTTGTTTGTTTGTTTGTTTACTTACTTACTTAATTACTTATGCACTTACTTGCCTATCTGAATCATATTTCAGTTTATTTATGGATTGTGGGGTGTAGTCTGACCCAGACATGTTTTTGACATGTGAGATTCACCCATATGTACATGCAAAATTCAAAGACACATGTATTAATCAAATGTGTGTTTGTGTGGGAATGTGCAGTGATTATACGTATAGTCACTAAGCTTGGCTTGGCTTGGCTGGGAGGGATTGTCCTGGGGGGATTGTGTGGCATCAGATAAGGACTGTTCCCAGGACGGGGCATTATTGACACTTTTGTATTACAATAAGAATGCACAGTGAGTGTTGGACAGACAGACTGCCTGGCTCTAAGGTTAATTGAGTTGGGTGTGTGGCCCCGTGTGGCCGCAGCGTGACCCCGCTGTAGCCAAGGACGCCATTGAGCTCTCGCTTTGATACATCTGATATGGTTTAAGTGTGGAATGAAGACCTAAGCCTGTTTACATTTGAACTGGATTAACGTCAGGGTGACAGTGGCTTCACTAGATACAGAGAAAGAGAGAACAAGGCAAGCCGTATGCTATATGCAGCTTTACACATGGAACTGAAATGTCTCACTGATCGCCCTTGTTAGTCTGTGTGCTTAGAAGATGTCACATTATTTCAGCAGGCCTCTGCAGATAGTTAATGCTTCCCAGAAGGAAAAAAAATAAATAAACTGCTCAGAAGTTGAGATTTAATTGAAATCTCAGTTATGTTTCATGAAGCATCTATGACTTTTTATTGCAGAATGTTATGTTGTGTGTGTGTGTGTGTGTGTGTGTGTGTGCGTGCGTGCGTGCGTGTGTGTGTGTCACCTATCACCTATCATATTTATATCTGACACTGTATTCTGAAATCTTAGAAGAAAAGTCTCCATTTTCTTTCCATTCAATCTCATTCCTATCTGGGAGGAATCAAAGAGAATCGATTTTTCTTCCCTGTTAGTTGTTGCGTTCACAGGCCTGTATCTGGATGTTTTACAGTTTTAGTGTGTGTGTTATAATGTTGTGTATATGTGTGTCATTGCGTTTGATCTCTCATCAGAAGTCTTTTTGAACACAAGGCAGTTATTTTTTGACGTTTGCGTCGCCTTGACGTCTTTTTGAAATCTAGATTGCATATGCGAAATAAGTGATTCAATTACGGCTTGATTGCTTTGCCAAGGAGAAGAGCATGTCTCTAAATATCATTTCATATAAACCATGATTAGAAGAAGCCCGTATAGAGAGCTCTACAAGCTTATTCACTTTTGTAAACACACCAGAAATGAACTCTGAGAAAGATGCCGTTTTATGCGCCACACTGGATCATGACAAACTGCAAACTCGAATGGAGAACATAAGTGTGTGTGTGTGTGTGTGTGTGTGTGTGTAATCGTAGGAACAGGGTGCTTGTCTCTGTTTGTGCCGTCCCAGGCTCTAATTCACTGTGTAATACTGTTTATTATGGGTATCAGTGTGCCTTTCTGCATTAGTTAAATGGGCCCCAGCACATTACTGTAATGGAGTGGCCACATGAAAACACAAAGAAACCTGATCCTCTTCTCCTTTCTCAAACCCTCGTCCTTCTCTCCCTGCTCCCCTCTCTCCTTCTCTCTCTTAGAGTAATGATTTGATGTTGCTAATGGCTTCCTAAATTCTCTAGGAAGGGCAAAACCGATGTCGTCTTGGGTTACAGTGGCTGGCAGACTGCCAGAGAGGGTGAGAGCGAATGAGGGAGAGAGAAAGCACAGTGACGCTCTTCTCTTTCTGCCTTTTCTGCCTCGTTGTTCATTTACAAAATGAACTTATTTACAGAATGTCTCTTCTGTTTGAGATGTAATCGTCATGTTCTGTTAGGGGCCTGAGCAAAACGTTGAAGTTGAAACTCTTTCACTCACAGACCGTATAATTAGTTCTTGAATCAAGTTTGAAAATTAGATTTCACTTCATTGCCCCTGTAGTGTGTTTATTGTGGATTTGTAAGTTGTTTTGATAAAAAAAATGGTAACTGCTAAATTACTAATGTGAATGTGAAGTTGATTAGTACGTCACCTTGGAATTATACTTTTCTATCTGTGATTTTTGTCAAAATTTAGTTATTCACATATTCTTATTCTGTGACAACTTATTTACATTATGTGATTTTTTTTTATTTTTTTTTAAATTGTGTACATTTTGGGACTGATGTATGAATGAGACTTGTTCCCCATATCACTATATGGAATGCAAAAACTTTGAAGCTCAATATCTCGAAACTGCTCAGAATGCAGATAGAACCTTATAATTCCAAGGAAATGAATAGTGCGTAAAGGTGGTTAGTTGGCTAATGGTGCAATGTACACTACCATTCAGAAGATTTTAGATGTTTCATATCTTCACCCCGACTGCATTTTGTTTTTATAGAAAAAGTGAAATATTATTACAATTTAAAATAACTGTTTCTATTTGAATATGTTTTCAAATGTAATTTATTCCTGTGATGTCAATGCTGAATTTTCAGCAGCATTACTCTAGTCTTCAGTGTCACATGATCCTTCAGACATTATTCTAATATGCTGATTTGCTGCTCAGTTATCATTTCCCATTATTATCAATGTTGAGAACAGTTTTGCTGCTTAACATTTTTGTTGAAACTGTAATTAATTTAATTTAATTTAGTTTTTCAGGATTCTTTGATGAATAGAAAGTTCCAAAGAACATAATTTATTTGAAATATAAATATTTTGTACATTATAATTGTCACTTTTGATCAATTTATACATTTATTTTTATTCCTTGTTGAAATAAAAATATTGATTAAAAAAAACAAAAAACTGACCTCAAACTTAAAAGTATGTTTAAGATCTTATAAACCTGATTAGACTTGGATGTGACTTGATTTTAATGAGTTTTAATGTAAAGATCATATGAAATATTATAATGTTGGTTGCTTGTAAGATAAATGCTGTTCCTTAAAGGGGTCATATGATGCTGCTAAAAAGAACATTATTTTGTGTATTCGGTGTAATGAAATGTGTTTATGCGGTTTAAAGTTAAAAAAACACATTATTTTCCACATACTGTACATTATTGTTTCTCCTCTATGCCCCGCCTTTTTGAAACGCGTCGATTTTTACAAAACTAATCGGTCTGAAAAGCGAGGTGTGCTCTGATTGGCCAGCTATCCAATGTCCGCAACAAACATAAACGAAGCATGAAAAAATGAAACGGCGACAACTTGTCATCTGAGCGAGTTGAGTAAGTGCATTGAGATCGGATGCCTTGAGGTGTGACTGCTTTGCCTTGTGTCTAACAGAGAGAAAGAGAGAGAGAGCGCAAGAGCGAGCCAGAGAGAAAGGTCTCTGATGTGTGCAGCATAATGCCGTTTATTGTTGTGATTAGTATTAGCTCTCTGATTCGACCCTGATGAAAGCAGCAGGCACCGTGCCAGCGAATATGTACATGAAATGAATAAGAGAGACTGATATGTGTGTACGTGTGTTTGTAGCCTGATTTGCAAAGGGAGCGAGTGTGTGTGCATTTGGTAAATGGCAGTCTGATCACATGATGGCCTATGGCAGCCCCTAACAAACCGTGTAGGCGCCAGCGGGAGGGGGGGAAGTGGGGCACTCGAGGATGTGTGTGTGTGTGTGTGTGTGTGTGTGTGTAAGGGGGGTGTCACATGACAAATAAAGTTTGAAGCCAAACTCCTTTACTTCAAACAATAGAGTATTAATGTTGATGACACATGATCTGAGCAGAGGCAATGTCTGCGTGCTTTTGTGTGTCGAAAGGCCTCGGTCCTGTTGACATGGACCAGTCTGGCGTCTGCATGTCATGCTTACACACGCGAGTTGAGTAAGTGCATTGAGATCGGATGCCTTGAGGTGTGACTGCTTTGCCTTGTGTCTAACAGACAGAAAGAGAGAGAGAGAGCGCAAGAGCGAGCGAGAGAGAAAGGTCTCTGATGTGTGCAGCATAATGCCGTTTATTGTTGTGATTAGTATTAGCTCTCTGATTCAACCCTGATGAAAGCAGCAGGCACCGTGCCAGCGAATATGTACATGAAATGAATTGGGGAGACTGATATGTGTGTGTATGTGTTTGGACTCTGATTTGCAAAGGGAGCGAGTGTGTGTGCGTTTGGTAAATGGCAGACTGATCACATGATGGCCTATGGCAGCCCCTAACAAACCGTGTAGGCGCCAGCGGGAGGGGGGGAAGAGGGGCACTCGCGGATGGGGGGGGCTGACTCGGGTCACATGACAAATAAAGTTTGAAGCCAAACTCCTTCACTTCAAACAATAGAGTATTAATGTTGATGACACATGATCTGAGCAGAGGCAATGTCTGCGTGCTTTTGTGTGTCGAAAGGCCTCGGTCCTGTTGACATGGACCAGTCTGGCGTCTGCATGTCATGCTTACACACACACACAGGCCTACATATATTGCATGCTATAGAGAGGTGAAGTGGAACACTGCAATGCATGCGTGACTATGTGTCTGTGTTCTTTTGCATTGCTCATATGTCCCTTTCTCCTGTCTGTAAATAAGGGTTTACCATTCACCACTGGTTTGTTAAGCCAATTTCCCAATCGTCTTTCAGCATGACAGAGATAAAAAAGACAGAACTGATGTCTCATTTCGCTACAGAATAGCTTTCAGTTCACACATTTTAGCTTTTTACTCCACAACTGATCTTGGAAGATGTCGTTTGAAGAAAATATTGTGCCCCCATGATTGTGAAACACAATTCGAGATCTTTAGACATTGCAGTGTCATTCCAATTGTGCAAGCAAGCAAAACAGTGAGAAAGGCTGTTTGTAACAACACACGGTCTTTGACATTAACATGATAACATGCTGTAAATACATAATCACATGATTTTGTAACATGAGATGCTAATACGTTTATGGTAAACTAAAACAAAGCGGTGTGTTCTAGAGAAACTGTACGAAGCAGAATGTGGTCTACTTTAATATGGTTCTTTAGACCTAAATATTGCTTAAAAAAACAAAAGCATATATTAAAAAAAAATAATAATTTCCAACTGTGGTCTTTTTGAGACTTTTCACCTTTGGCCTGTTATGTAATTTTAAATATTTAAACTATTCCTGTAAATTATATTTGATCCAAAAATATTTCTGATTAAATATGTCAATAAATAAAGTAATACATAATTAATTTATGAATAAAGTTTTAGCAAAAGTGATTCTATATTGACTGGACACAATGGATGTAAAGGTTCTTTATCATTTCTTTTTACTCAAACTGCGTAACTGTCAGTTTAAAAAAAAAAAAATTTAACAGTACATTTTGAGGACAGGAAAAATATGTAAGAGGGGTCTCTGATCCATGGTACATTTATGAATCGAGTAAACACTTTATCTAAGAATTAAATAAATTGAGTAAATTTGGGTTTGATGTCTTAGCACTATAGGAGGGTTAAAAAATAACTTGAAAACTGTCCTGTTGGAGCTGATAGCCTAATGGGCAGCGCATTGAGACACACAGTTCAGCTATGTTTCGTGTGGCCAGAGTTTGTATCCTGGCTAGTGGTCCTTTCTGATCTGTCCCCTTTTCTCTCTCCCACTTTTCTTCCAGGTTACTCTCCGATACATACTATCTAATAAAGGCAAAAAATAAAAACAAAGTAATTTCTTACACATCATCCTGGATTTTTAAATTAGCTCATCTAAGAGTTTGTATAATAAAAAAAAAAAACTTGAGCACCCTAATTAAATTTGTTTCTGTGAAGAACAATGTAGCAATATAGAGAAGTAGTAGAAAAGAACAGAGCTTTTGCACTGTATGCTGATGGATCTTGCAGGCTTGGCTTAGCTGTCATGTTCAATGTTCTTAGTCCATTAATCAGATAGAGGGTGTGAGCTTGTGTCCCAGTGTTTACACAGCAATAGAGTGATCGCTGCCCCCCGGCCACACACAGAGGAGGCTGAGGACGCACTGTGAAGTGGGCCTGACATTGGTGTGCGTGCGTGTATGTGATGCTTGAATTGAACAGCAGAAAGGGACAATGCCAAGCTGTGTATAAGTGGGAATCTGTAAGAGGTGAAAGAGTTTATTTGTGAATAAAGCTCCTATCTTTGGTCTACTTACAGGCCTTTCAGAACTTTCAGGCAACTGCCATTTGCCTCATTACAATGAAACTGAGCTTCTTCAAATTTTGTTGTTTTCTAGTGATTTACAGTAACACAGTCAGGATTAAACAGCACTTTAATCTGGGATAAAAGTTCATCCACATTATTAAACAGACAATACATTTTTACCATGCAGTCAAGCATGCATCTTCAAGTTGTCAAACAAACATTTAAGTGAATCATAATCACCTAATCCTGTTAATCATAATGCAAGAATTTATAAATGGTTAACAAATCTTGCAGCACCCTTTACAACTTTGCATCACAACACTTACCTAAGTAGGACATTAACATTCTTTGTTGGTCCTGGAGCAACATTCATATCAAACCAAACAGCCCTAATCCCAGCCCACAAGCCCTAATCTAGGGGTGTCCAGTCCTGCTCCTGGAGGACCGCCTTCCCGCAGAGTTTATCTCCAACCCTCATTAAATACATCTGAACCCGCTAATAAATGTCATTAAACTCACTAGAAGCTTTTAGGCAGTGGTGTTGGAGCAGGTTGAAGCTAAACTCTGCAGGAAGATGGCCCTCCAGGAGCAAGATTGGACACCCCTGTAGTGCAATGAATGGTTGGTAAGATTGTTGCTCCTTACCCTAACCCAAGCCCCAAGACTTACCTAGACCTAATATCAGAGGGCAGTGATTAATTACTAAGACAGTTATTTCAGTACAAAGGCTGTTGATCCATGAACATGTCCTACAAGTGTAAACCGTGTAAATCTTACCTCCCCAACACCACTTTTATTTCTATTATTTATTCATTTGAACTTTCCAAAGTAATTAACTAAGTCCAGTGAGGAACTTGAGTTGAGCCTTATGCTTGAGCCCCTCCAATGAGGCGTTCACTCTGACAATGGAGAATCCCTGGAGAAAGGCATGTTGGTCTACTGTTGGTTGCTGGTAAGCATTCCTGTTGTGCCCAACTGTATTAGGCAGCATATCACATGAACTTTGCTACCTCTCATTGGTAGTAGTCACATCACTCTTTTTAAAAGAGTTCCATCAGCAGTGGTCTTTGTTGCACATGTCACCTCAACAGTTCAACAAAGGAATGCCTTCCAGCTGCTCGAATTTGACACTCAAAATCTTTGGCAGCGTGAACATTTCTTAATGCAGTCAGCTCTGTGTACCTTACCAAATATGTCTACCTTACCTTAGAATTGCATTAATGTTGAATCATTAAACATGGGCTACTAGTCAGCTTCAATGAACCAG